AGGGCCCCCAATTCGAGCTCCGAAAGGGGGAAGATTCGCCCAAAAGGAATTTCTGAACCGGGTAACAGGTCAACGGGACAGTCATAAGGGCGGTGGGGGGGTAGAGTATCAGCTCTCCCGCTTGCTGAACACATTCTAGAAACTCATGGTAGGCTGCCGGGATTACCTGTTTTAATTCGGCTTCCCCCTCAGAGCACAGGAGGATTTGGGGGACCCCCGGGCCCAAAGTGCGGCAGTATACCCGACAGTATGGAGAAGGGAACGAAAATTACTCCGGTCTCCCAGTCAATTTGGGGGTTATGGGCCCGTAACCATGGGAGCCCCAAAATGACTGGGAAGAGGGGTGAAGCTATAGCATCCAGGCGGAGCAGTTCCTGGTGCTGGCCGGCAATGACAGTGGCGATGGAGGGGGTTTCCTGGTTCACTACCCCTGATTTTATCCGGGAACCGTCGGCCAAATAAATATTGAACCCCTTCTGTTTTAATTGGAGAGGAATACCCTGCTGGTGAGCAAAATTAATGTCCAAGAAGCAGCTGCATGCCCCCGAATCAACTATGGCCGATACTTCCACGGTCCTTTCCGGAAGCTGAAAGGAAAGGGGCACCACTAAGTATTGGGATGGACTAACATTGCCAATGGACAAGGAAGAAGAGGTGCACTTACTCAGTTTCTGCGGGCAGGATCGTACCATGTGACCAGCTTCACCACAGTAGAGGCACAGGTTCTGGGATCGTCTGCGCTGATGTTCCTCTGGAGATAGTTTAGGCCGTGCCAGGCCGAGTTGCATAGGTTCAGGGATATCTCCAGGTGGCCGGTTCTGGATGTTTGGCCTAGGTGCTTGACTGGGACCTTGAAATGACCCCCAGGGATTTCCATGACCCTGGCCGGACCTCTCAAACCTGCGTTCCCGCAGTCTACGGTCAATCTTAATAGTCAGTGCAATTAAGTTCTCTAAAGTCTCAGGCACCTCCCACCTGGGCGAGCTCATCTTTCAGGCCTTCTGATAGGCCTATACGGAACTAATGCAGGAGAGCAAACTCGTTCCAGCGTGTGTCCCCCATCCAGCGCCTAAATTCAGACGCGTACTCCTCCGCCGCTCGGCGGCCTTGCCGGAGCGTGTACAAAGTAGCTTCAGCAGAAGCTGCCCGCTGTGGGTCATCGTATAGGATGGCCATTGCGTCAAAAAAAATGTCAACCGAACTGAGGTGAGGGTCATTTTTTCCCCGCAGTCGGTGGGCCCAGTCTTGGGGTTCACCCTGCAGGAGGGAGATGACGAACCCCACCTTCACGGATTCAGTCACAAAGGTTCGTGGTTGCAACTCAAAATAGAGAAGACAGGACTCACGGAATGACCTGAAGCGTGTGCGGTCCCCGTGAAAACGTTCCGGTAAGGGTACTCGGGGTTCGGCCGCCGGGAGTGGGGCGGATGCCCCAGAAACCGGCACAGGGGCTGCTACGGCCGGGGGTGTGCGGGGACCGCGGCCTGTGGGGCAGAAACGGATATAGTGCAGGTCTGGAAGTGATTCTCAATCTGCTGACATCTGTCCTGCAGGGCCGATACGGCCTGTGTCAAGTTAGACAGGTGCCTGCAGATCTCCTCAAGCGGCGAGGGCCCTCCTCTAGACTCAGTCATGGCCTTCTGGTACTGTAAGGGACCGCCTGGCGGTACCACTAGCACTCCACTGAATAGGCGTCCCCAGCGCACGGAGTCTAAGTCCCAGGGTGCTTGTTCACCAGGGCCCCTGATGGTGGGGATGGACTTGGAGCCTGCGCTGCCATTGGTGCCCAGCGGGCGGCCGCGGCTTCTACTGCGCATGCGCGAACTCGAACGCCGCGGCCGGCCCAGACCTAGTGCTCGAGTCCCTGCACAGGGCGGCACACTGCGCCTGCGCCGGGACCATCGCGGCGGGGATCGAGAGGATCCCTGACAGCTGGGTTCATGTGCACCGCTTACCTGGGGAAGAGATGGAGTCAGGATGCACTATGGGAAGAAGGCAGGCTGACAAAGGCAGTGAACTGCTACTGATGTCTTGGTGTCAGATACTACAGCATACCTTCAGAGGTCTAATGAAGTCCATGCCTCAACGGGCCAGGGCTGTTTGGTGACAAAAGGGGGACTTACTCAGTACTAACTGGGTGGTTATGTTATGGTGGGTAGTGCAAATGTTATGGCTGATCGGTGTATATAATTGGTACCGGGAGTGTTCAGGTTCTGAAATCAACATGGAACCAGGGGAGACTGCATTAGCCTCATTGGCATAAACACCACTAGCGGGTAACAACTGTGATAAACTAGATGCCTTTCCTGGGGTTTGAAACATGAATGCAGAGTCACCAAATAATCATGTAAAAAATTCCACATGACTTGAAATAAGAAGAGCGCTATTCTCCATGAACTGATAATGGAAGCCACATGCAAAAAGTTTGTGAGGCATGAGGTAACAGCTAAGCATACTGAATCATTGATCAACTCATACCTGCTGGAACCGTGCCCACATTCTGTTGCTTATTTTCATGTGGGTGGATAGAGGGGGATAACGGTGAAAATGCTGGTGCTGGCCCCACATGCTGGCAGAGTCACATCAGCAACTTCCAAAATAAAAACCAGGCAGCGCATGGTTTCTAAACCAGGAATGGCCAGAGCATGTGGGCTAAGAATGAAAATATGCATTAATAAAAAGTTGGGCAGTTTTAAAAATGACACAAAAAATAATTTTGGGTTTAATGACACTCTAACTCCTTTTCCTAGAATCACCTGGGCTCCTGGAAACGCCCAGAGTAATATACAATATATTGCCAAATGTATTGGGAAGCCTGCCTTTACACGCACATGAACTTTAACCTCCTTGGCGGTATAATTCTTTCCGATTTTTTGTGCTGAAAGCGGTACCATTTTTTTTGCATGGAAATATGTAGTTTTTTATTGTAGGCTGTAATTTTTAGGAATAACTCACTGAAATCTGTACGAACAAGAGTCTATTAAACATTAAAAATTCCGGATATGATAAAATTTGAAACACGAAATCATAAATTATAATTTAATAATCATAAAAAATAATATAATAATAAATTTAATTCAATAATATAATCAAACCAAAAACACTGAAATTTGAAATACAGAGGCAAATTCGCACATCGCTGAGCAAAAGTCGCAAAATCGTTTTCCGTGTCTGACGAATTTCCCCACGAATCATCACTCAATTCTGCAAGTGGTTCTGATTTACTATCGCTGTTCTAAAACCGCTTTTTTGACGTAAAGGGACGCTTTTTGGACGCCATGGACTTTTCTAAGTTTCCAGGCAGAAAGAACAAAATGCAGGCAGGGCACAGGACAAAGCAGTAGGGACAAAATATATGTGAAATGCATTGAAACAGCAATGACAGCATAAATGACATTTTTTTAAAATTTCAAATTTCCCGCCGGTTCTGGCGCCCGTACGTCCCAACGTCACAGGGACCGGAACACAGAAGCCGGATGCCGGCATCAGCCGGAGGAGATGGCCGGGGACGCTGCAGGGGACACATCGCAGGAGCAAAGGACAAGGTAAGTGCTGCAGGGACCCCCAGAGCAACGCCGCATAGTAAGCCCGAGTGTAGCTTGGGGTTACCGCTCTTGGTATAGAAATTTTACCCCGAGCTACACTCGGGATTACCGCTAAGGAGGTTAATGGAATCCCAGTCTTAGTCAGTAGGGTTCAATATTGAGTTGGCCCACCCTGTGCAGCTATAACAGCTTCAACTCTTCTGGGAAGGCTATCCACAGGGTTTAGGATTGTGTCTATGGGAATGTTTGACCATTCTTCTAGAAGTCCATTTGTGAGCTCAGGTACTGATGTCGGACGAGAAGACCTGGTTCTCAGTCTCCACTCTAATTCATTCTAAAGGTGTTCTATCGGGTTGAGGCAGGACTCTGTGTAGGCCAGTCAAGTTCCTCCACCACAAACTTGCTCATCCATGTCTTCATGGACCTTGCTTTGTGCACTGGTGTACAGTCATGTTGGAACAGGAAGGGGCCATCCCCAAACTGTTCCCACAAAGTTGGGAGCATGAAATTGTCCAATATGTCTTGGTATGCTGATGCCCTGAGAATTCCCTTCACTGGTATTAAGGGGCCAAGCCCAACCCCTGAAAAACAACCCCACACCATAATCCCCCCCCCCCACCAAACTTTACACTTGGCACAATGCAGTCAGGCAAGCACCGTTTTCCTGGCAAGCACTAAACCCAGACATGTCCATCAGATTGCCAGACCAAAAAGCATGATTCATCACTCCAGAGAACATGTCTCCACTGCTCTAGAGTTCAGTGGTGGCATGCTTTACACCACTGCTGTCAAGGTCCTACCTTTTCCCAGAGGTTATGTTACTCCATGTGCTGGCATCCATCTTGGATTTATGCTGAGCATGGTGGGAGGCTTTTATGCCTTCAGGTCTCTGAGGTCCATCCCCCAGAGGGGTGTGGCTGAGTACATATAAGCCTGTGATCCGCACATGCTCTTTGCACTTGTGTCTTGTGTCTTTGTCTTGCTACAGCTCTGTGTATATGCTCGTGACTCTTCTGGTATTTGACTCGGCTTGTGACTAGACCATTCTCTGTGTTTTCCTTCGATCTGACCTTCCGTTGCTGAACCCGGCCCGTGACCTGTGATTCTCTGTCTACTGTTCTGTACTGTTTTGTCCCGTTGTTGTTGACCCAGCTTGCCTGACTACGCTATTGTCATTCTCACCAGCTACACGCCATTGGCGGCAGCCATTACCGCAGCCGGGGTGTCTCGGGGGCCGCGACCTGGTTCCTGGCTGCGTCAAGTCCATCCCCACCATCAGGGGCCCTGGTGAAGGGCATCCTGGGACTTAGACTCCGCGCCCTGAGGGACTTCGGTCTGTTGGTGGTGGTTGTCGTCAGCCAGCGCGTTACCCTGCCACTAGGCCTACCTGTCCGTTCCACAGCCCTGCCCTGACAACTGCATCCGACACTTTGCACTGCGCTTGGTGATGTAAGGCTTGGCTGCAGTTGCTCGGCCATGGAAACCCGTTCAATGAAGCTCTCTACACACTGTTGTGCTAATCTGAAGGCCACATGAAGTGTTGGGGTCTTTAGCTATTGACTCTGCAGACAGTTGGCAACTTCTGCCCACTGTGCGCTTCAGCATGCGCTGACCCCGCTCTGTCATTTTACCTGGCCTACCACTTTGTGGCTGAGTTGCTGATGTTCCCAGTTGCTTCCACTTTGTTATAATACCACTAACAGTTGACTGTGGAATATTTAGTAGCAAGGACATTTCACAAATGGACTTACAGTGCCTTGATAAAGTATTCATACCCCTTGAAATTTTCCACATTTAGACATGTTACGACCAAAAACATAAATTACATTTTATTGGGAATATATGTGATAAAGTGTAAAAAATTGTGAAGTGAAAGGAAAATGATAAATGGTTTTCAAATTTTTTTAAAAATATCTGAAAAGTGTGACATGCATTTGTATTCAGCCCCCGAAGTCAATACTTTGTAGAACCACCTTTCACTGCAATTACAGCTGCAAGGCTTTTTGGGTATGTTTCTACCAGGTTTGCACATCTAGAGCGTGGAATTTTTGCTCATTCTTTGCAAAATAGCTCAAGCGCTGTCAGACTGGATGGAGAGCATCTGTGAACCACAATTTTCAAGTCTTACCACAGATTGGATTTAGGTCTGGGCTTTGACTAACACATGAATATGCTTTGATCTAAAGCATTCCATTGGAGCTCTAGTTGTATGTTTAGCGTCCTTGTCCTGCTGGAAGGTGAATCTCCGGCCCAGTCTCAAGTCTTTTTCAGGCTCTAACAGGTTTGGCTCCATCCATCTTCCCATCAACTTTGACCAGCTTCCCTGTCCCTACTGAAGAAAAGCATTCCCACATCATGATACTGCTACCACCATGTTTCATGGTGGAGATGGTATTTTCAGGTTGATGTGCAGTTTTCGTTTTCCACCACACATAGGGTTTTGCTTTTAGGCCAAAAAGTTTAATTTTGGTCTTTTCTGACAAGAGCACCTTCTTCCACTTGTTTGCTGTGTCCCCTACATGGCTTCTTGCAAACTGCAAACGGGACTTCTTATTGCTTTCTTTTTGCCACTCTTCCACAAAGGCCAGACTTGTGGAGTGCACGACTAATAATTGTCTTGTGGACAGATTCCCCCACCTGAGCTGTGGATCTCTGCAGCTCCTCCAGAGTTACCATGGGCCTCTTGGCTGCTTCTCTGAATAATGCTTTCCTTGCCCGGCCTGTCAGTTTAGGTGGATGGCCATATCTTGGTAGGCTTGCAGTTGTGCCATGCTCTTTTTATTTTCGGATGATGAACTGAACAGTGCTCCGTGAGATGTTCAAAACTTGGGATATTTTTTTTATAACCTAACCCTGCTTTAAACTTCTCCACAATTTTATTCCTGACCTCTCTGGTGTGTTCCTTGCCCTTCATGATTCTGTTTGTTCACAACTGTTCTCTAACAAACCTCTAAGGGCTTCACAGAACAGCTGTATTTATACTGAGATTAAATTACACACAGGTGGACTCTATTTACTAATTACTTGACTTCTAAAAGCAATCGGATCCACTAGATTTTAGTTAGGGGTATCAGAGTAAAGGGGGCTAAATACACCACACTTTTCAGATATTTATTTGTAAAAAAGTTTGAAAACTATAATTTTCCCTAAACTTCACACTTGTGTGGCCACTATGAGCTGGTCTATCACATTAAATCCCAATAAAAAATAAATTTATGTTTTTGGTGGTAACACGACAAAATGTGGAAAATTTCAAGGGGTATGAATACTTTTTAAAGGGACTGTATTGCACTGATGGCAACCTATCACAGTACCACACATGAATTCACTGAGCTCCTGAGAGCGACCCATTCTTTCACAAATGTTTGTAGAAGCAGTCTGCATGCCTAGGTGCTTGATTTTACACACCTGTGGCCATGAAGGTGATTGGAACACCTGAATCCAATGATTTGGAGGGGTGTCTCAATACTATTGGCAGTATAGTGTATGTTTATTGCCCTCAACAGCTCAGAGAAACTGTACCTGATGAAACATAGGGTGGCTAGGCAGGTGGTCTGCATTTATGTGTATGGTTCCCCACTATTAGTCCTGGTGTGCAGGTAGCCGGACAGAAGCCCAGTGGCACACAGCTTTCACCGAAGACCCAGCCACTGTGGAGAGAACTTCCCCATTTGCTGTCAGAGTTCTGTATTTCAAGTGGGGAGGCCTTGTGCCTAAAGTTGCTCACCTGTGTTACTAGCCCCTCTATTAGCAGCTCTGAAATCCCTCCAGCTTGTCACTTGTATTTACTAGATTTAGCCTGGACTTCACTGTGAGTCCTGTCTGTGAGGATAAGTTAGTTAACTGATTATATTATGTACTGTTTATTGAAGTAGTGATTTTTCTCTAGGCTTCATTACTTTAGAACCTTATTGAGACACTGCACAGCTTCATAATCTTTTAACATTGTTCTGTACAGTATGTATACTCTTTACTATTCTCACACTGTTTGTAGTGTTAGAGTATGTTTGTGTTTGACTGGTCAGGTCATAAAAGGTTGCAGAAACTTTACTACGAGCACTACTAATCACAAATGTATGGTAGTGTACACTGCTAGAAACAGAAATGCCTTTACTAATGACACTTAGGGTCATATTTTACAAAGCAGTGAGTTTGATATTCATCAAACACTTTACTGCAGGTGAAGCAATCAGTTGATGCAATTTAAAACATATACACTAGGTATAGGGTTGCTACCTTTTTTTTGGTAACAAAAAATAGTGGCCTTCTGATCTCTCTGTTCATAACATTGGCAAAATCCCAGCCAGGTGACAGCCCTAAATATGAAGATACAGTCAAGTCCATAAATATTGGGACATGGACACAATTCTAACATTTTTGGCTCTATACACCACCACAATGAATTTGAAATGAAACAAACAAGATGTGCTTTAACTGCAGACTGACAGCTTTAATTTGAGGGTATTTACATCCAAATCAGGTGAACGGTGTAGGAATTACAACAGTTTGCATATATGCCTCCCACTTGTTAAGGGACCAAAAGTAATTGGACAATTGGCTTCACAGCTGTTCCATGGCCAGGTGTGTGTTATTTCCTCATTATCCCAATTACAATGAGCAGATAAAAGGTCCAGAGTTCATTTCAAGTGTGCTATTTGCATTTGGAATCTGTTGCTGTCAACTCTCAAGATGAGATCCAAAGAGCTGTCACTATCAGTGAAGCAAGCCATCATTAGGCTGAAAAAACAAAACAAACCCATTAGAGAGATAGCAAAAACATTAGACGTGGCCAAAACAACTGTTTGGAACATTCTTAAAAAGAAGGAACGCACCGGTGAGCTCAGCAACACCAAAAGACCCGGAAGACCACGGAAAACAACTGTGGTGGATGACCGAAGAATTCTTTCCCTGGTGAAGAAAACACCCTTCACAACAGTGGCCAGATCAAGAACACTCTCCAGGAGGTAGGTGTATGTGTGTCAAAGTCAACAATCAAGAGAAGACTTCACCAGAGTGAATACAGAGGGTTCACAACAAGATGTAAACCATTGGTGAGCCTCAAAAACAGGAAGGCCAGATTAGAGTTTGCCAAACGACATCTAAAAAAACCTTCACAGTTCTGGAACAACATCCTATGAACAGATGAGACCAAGATCAACTTGTACCAGAGTGATGGGAAGAGAAGAGTATGGAGAAGGAAAGGAACTGCTCATGATCCTAAGCATACCACCTCATCAGTGAAGCATGGTGGTGGTAGTGTCATGGCGTGGGCATGTATGGCTGCCAATGGAACTGGTTCTCTTGTATTTATTGATGATGTGACTGCTGACAAAAGCAGCAGGATGAATTCTGAAGTGTTTTGGGCAATATTATCTGCTCATATTCAGCCAAATGCTTCAGAACTCATTGGACGCCGCTTTACAGTGCAGATGGACAATGACCCAAAGCATACTGCAAAAGCAGCCAAAGAGTTTTTTTAAGGGAAAGAAGTGGAATGTTATGCAATGGCCAAGTCAATCACATGACCTGAATCCGATTGAGCATGCATTTCACTTGCTGAAGACAAAACTGAAGGGAAAATGCCCCAAGAACAAGCAGGAACTGAAGACAGTGGCAGTAGAGGCCTGGCAGAGCATCACCAGGGATGAAACCCAGCGTCTGGTGATGTCTATGCGTTCCAGACTTCAGGCTGTAATTGACTGCAAAGGATTTGCAACCAAGTATTAAAAAGTGAAAGTTTGATTTATGATTATTATTCTGTCCCATTACTTTTGGTCCCTTAACAAGTGGGAGGCACATATGCAAACTGTTGTAATTCCTACACCGTTCACCTGATTTGGATGTAAATACCCTCAAATTAAAGCTGACAGACTGCAGTTATAGCACATCTTGTTCGTTTCATTTCAAATCCATTGTGGTGGTGTATAGAGCCAAAAATGTTACAATTGTGTCGATGTCCCAATATTTATGGACCTGACTGTATGTCTACAGTGAATCTCGCATTCACTGGTTTATAAATGTACCCCTTAGAAACACCCCACCTTTTATGGACTCCTGGGAAGATAGGTGTGTTGGGGGTGCTTCCTGTGCTGTCAGGGCATAGGTGAAAACAGTAGCCTCAGTTTTCTAACACCACCATTAAAAATAATTACATATTCCCCTACTTAACTACCTTCAGCCAGGGTATTAGTTCCAGCACGCAGTGCAGCACTTGAATTATGCAGGAAACTTTCCACACTTTTATAACAAGTACCATAATTCTAATGAATATTGTGTTCTGGTTTACATCTAGCCTTAGACAAATCAGGGAAGGTAAAAGAAGGAATTACACATATTCGGAACCTAACATACTGCTCCTAATTGAAGCTAGGAATTTATAATATGCTAGCTGCCACTGGAAAAAGTTAATATACTAACAATAACAATGGTACTTCATGAAAACTAAATGTAATTATTCAAATGCATACACATCATAGTCAGCAATTTATTTTAAAAAAACTCATGGAGTATTTGGGCACTGGTAAAATGATGTACACACAAAAAGCCCACTTTAACCACTTCCTACATGTAGGACGTCCTATGACATCCTCAGTGTAAATTGGTTATACGGGGATGATGCCTGCAGGTACAGGCATCATCCTGGTATCACCATCGTTTACATTTTACCAACCAATTGGGTATTACTTTTTGTTGTGTTCACTAAAATTCACATCTAGCAAAAAAAAGCAGATTGTGCAGTAGCATTTTCTTTTTTAAAGCTCCAAAAACTGGATAAAAAAAAATGCTTGGCAATAACGTTCTAGTACCGTTCAGAAGCATTTAGGAGCATTGGAGTTTTATTAGCATTTTTACAGTACCTGTAGAAGAAAAAATAAAGCTAGAAAAAGGCTGTTAGGGGTGTTTTAGGAGTGTTTAGCGGATTTTTTTTTTTTGCTGGAAAAAACGCTCCAAAAAACCCTACAAAAACAATTTTTATTTCAGCTCTTAGATGCTGAAGCTCAAAAAATGCTAATAGCTTTAAGTAGTGTGCATTAACACATAGGATAATATTATTTTGTTTCTGGGAGCCGAGAAAATGCTAATAACAGCTTCTAGAAGCTTAAATGCTAGTGTGCATGGAACTTTAGAATTGGCCTGGGTGGCGAGTGGTTAAACAATAAAGATCCTTGCTAGAACTTGTGCGCACAGCTACAGAATGGCCATACAGTGTGTATAAGTGCCAGTGAGCGCCAGAAACCAAATTAAAGCAATTCAAAGCAACCTCACCTATCCATCTATGTCTCCATGGCATTTCTGGCCCTGGCAGTCCTTCGTAAGGGCAGATGAATATTGTAGCATTTACTTCCTGGAATTCATCTGACCTTAGCTCAGGCATGCAGACAGGAGGGTGTGCTTCGCAGAGAAAACCCCTCCTGAAGACTCCTGAGACGTATGACATCATTTGCCTAGGCCTGGAAACCAGAAAGTAACTGAAATGTTAAAAAAAAAAAATCAAACAAGTAAATATGATATACTTTCTTAACTATTTTCTAATGCTAGCAGCATAAGAATTATAGTCAATGTTGATTGGGAGAGTGAAGTTCCATTTTAAATTCAAACCTATCTTGAAAGTGATTTGTGGTGCAGAAAGCAGAGAGAGAGGAGGATGTTACACTGCACAGGCACCAGTACACATACCCCTACTTCCCTCCCACTGATGCTGTACATAGATATCTTTGATGATTTTGTAGAGAATTACACACAGCTCAGATTAAGGTTAATTTAACACATTGACTGTCTTTACCGGGTGTAATTCTCAGTGTATTGCTTTCACTCGTTGCCAGGATTTAGACTTTACTGGTTATAGAAACGGCTCCCAGGAATTCAGATGCCCCTGTGCCTCTGCACAGGCGATATGTCAGGACCTACTCCATCTTCAAAAATGTTACTTTTTAATAAAAGTTGTACTTTGTACTGTAATAACATTTATGTACATTTGTCACTGCTCTCTGTTTTAATTTTTAACTTTTTGGGACAAACAATATTATATTGTTATCAAAGTAACTGAAAGAGAATGGGTAATCTTTTCAAGATTACTTGTAATGGAATGCAGGGCATTTCATTAAGGTTCTAGGTGTAAGAATAAAACTGCAAAGTATCCCATATGGAGGATACTCCCATAGATCTAATCTAAGTTGTACCCTAATCTGTCTAAGCTATTTTTGTATTGTGAGAGAGGTACTACTGTTGCATGATCACGTACATGACAAAAGCTAGACATGATATAGGGACACCTGCCAATTCCTGTGCGAGATGCCCAGATGTCAGTATATGTGTATACTCTTTTACTATTTGAAAAAAAAGTTGTTTATACAGAAGTTAGCTTTTCTGTTTAAATGATAATAAAAATAATTGGAAACAAAAAAGAGAATGGGTTAATGTTGTAGGTGTCACATTTTTCTGTTGTATTTCTTTATAGCACAGCCACTGTCTGGAAGGATCTGAACCCATTTTGGGGGGAAGAGTTCACCCTGCACCTCCCTCTTGGCTTCCACACACTCTCATTCTATGTGATGGATGAAGACACAAATTGGGTAAGATGGCTTGATTTTCTATTTCTACTATTCTGGGTCTGTGTGTATATGCAGACATGGACAAATTTGTTGGTAGAAATGATGGGCCATGTAACAACTTGACCACCAGAAGGTTTTGCCCCCTTCATGACTAGAGCATTTCTTGCTATTCAGCACTACGCTATTTGAACTGGCAATTGCATGGTCATGCAACATTGTAAACAAATTAAATTTATATATTTTTTTCACACAAATAAAGCTTTTATTGGTGGTATTTTCTAATTTCTGTTATAAAACCTTTCCAATAAAAACAATCAAATTTCTTCAGAAATGTAGTCCAAAATGTATTCTGCTATATTTTTTTGGTATAAAAAAAAACTCCTAATAAATGTATATTAATTGGTTTGTGTGAAATCTTCTACAAACTATGGTATATATACTGGAAATTACACAGCTGTAGACGCTATACTGGTGGTAATGGTGGTGATCAGCGACTTTTAGTGCTATAGTGTGATAGTGTGGCGGGCAATCTGGAGCTAGCTGAACAAAAATGTCTGTTAAAAAAAGAAATCCAAATAAATGTATATTAATTGGTTTATGCGAAAGTTCTAGTGTCTACAAACTATGGTATATATACTGCTATTTACATAGCTATGTAACATTACTAGTAATGGCGGTGTTCAGTGATTTATATTGGGACTGTGATAGTGTGGACAGCAATCTGGTGCTGGCTGATACTGGCTGGGAGGTACAGTAACTAACACTGACATCAATAGTGATACTAATACAATGATCAGTGTTATACTGTTTACTATCACTGTACTAATGACATTGGCTGAGAAGGGGTTAACATCTAAGGGCTAATCAAAGGGTTAACTGTGTGCCGAGCAGTGTGCAATGTGTGCTGCATTTACGCTACTATATGTTTGGTTTTTTCTCCCTGCTTTGTAGGGAGAGGAAACAGCCAGATCGCTGTTTTCAATACACAGATTTCTGTGTTTTTGTGTGTGATTGACCACAGCCAATCAGCTGACTTCAGTCAAAATCTTTCAGCTACCAAACTTGTGCTGTGTCCAGTCACAGCATGGGTTGGCAGGGGATGTGGGCATGTGTGCCCCAAATGCAGGAGAAAAGCTGTAACGTGTCAGTACGTTGGCTGGCCTGCAGCTGCCGCTTACTCACAGTACTACTACTCTGGGCAGGCAGCAAATGGTTAATAGTGTCCTGTCATCATTCAAAGCATGTTCAAACCTATAAATGGAGAAAACAAATCTTACCCAAGCTCAACTGCTCTATTCACCACATGGAGACAGGAGAGAGACCGGAGCACTGTCCACTCCTCACAGCAGATATCCACGATAGCCGCCAACTCGGAAAGCTTCTTAATAAAAATCTTTATTGGTTACATAAATACAGGATCCATAAAGCTTTATTCATAGCATCATAAAAATGAATAAGGCTTTGTGAAGCCGAAACGCGTCAGTTTATGGATCCTGTATTTATGTAACCAATAAAGATTTCCATTAGAAAGCTTTGAGTTGGCTACTTGTATTGTATAAACAGAGTAAATCCTCTACCTGGTGCTCATCAAAGCGGACCATTTAAAAAGTGAAGGCATATATGCAACCAGCAGAAGGTGTCAAAAATGGCTTAGGGATATGTACAGAAAAAAACAGAGTAGAAAATAGATTCAAGGAAAATATCCATTCCAGATTTGACTTCAGAGAAGTGGGTGAACTGTTTTTTTCCACGTCCCTGCTATAGTCATTTTAGAAGCTAGAAGGACAAAATGGTTAAGTTTGAACTATTTCTTAGTAACCCCAGGAAGTTTGAAATGCAGAAGTGCTACCCAGCAGATTCTGAATAATGTGTGCAAAAGATAAAAAACTTTAGACCAGAAACGACTTTTCATCAGGCAGCAACATATGCGGGGGACGTCGCCAGTAACTTGGCATCCTCTGAAACATAAACTCGAATGTCCGGGGAATATATGGACCAGGTACCATCTGGTAAGTACCTTTTAAACTGACTTTAAGGTGGTGGTGTTAATGGAGCAGGATGCAATAGTGGACAACGTTCAGTAAGATTTTTTTAGTTTTATGTAAAACTTTTATCCAAAAAGGAGCAAACCTGATGTTGTAATTGTTTAAAATGTGTTAGCTTGAGTTTGGCTTCAAATTTTTTAGTGTATCTGAATCTGCTAGTATATCTAACACTCCCCCCCCCCCCCCCCCCACCCCCCCCCCCCCCCCCCCCAGACTGGCTATGCTGCCATCCAAAGGTATCTCTGTTGCTCCTTCATCCAGAGTGTAGGCATCCTAATACAGGAAATTGTGTTTTTGACTGGATCACCAGGTGGAAACAGAGGGGAAAAAAGCCTAAAAAAAAACAATTCAGCCACCACATGTAATGATTGGTAAACTGTGATATATTACATTGTTTGCTTTGGGTTTTAATAGCACTTTATTTGGTACTTTGTTGTACCACACTGAGAAGAATCGCTGCAAACAAGTGATTCTGTAACTCCAATGAGACTTCTTCAGCTGCCAACAGATAGACTGGCCCACTCTTCTAGAGAAAACTGCTCCAATTGTCTCAGGTTTGAAGGGTGCCTTCTCCAGACAGCATGTTTTTGCTTTATATACTGTAGATATTTGATAGGATTCAGATTAGGGCTCGTAGAAGGTCACTTTAGAACATTCTATTTTGTTTTCTGCCATTCTTGAGTGCTTTTGGCTGTGTTTTTGGGTAAATATCTCTTTGGAGGACCCATGACCTGTGACTGAGACAGAGCTTTCTGATGCTGGACAGTACAGAACTCCTTGATGGTTTTGAGATTTCATATTGCCTTGTTCAGACTTGAGGCACCCCATGCCAGACACAGTTAAGCCAATTTTCCTTTAGAATCACTTTAAAGCAACCAGAAGGGTCCATCAGTGCAGACAGCGGACATAATATGCAAATCTGTAGTAAAAAAAAAAAAAGGCCTCTTAGGATTTCTTCTCTTCACGTTAAAATGGTTAAGGCATTCTATTCTATCCCCTCAGCAGCCCTTTCCTAATATTACCTGAGCCCAATCTTGATCCAGCGATGTGTGTGAGAGCCAAGGCTCAGATGCCGTGGCAGGAGCCATTGGCTCCTTTTGCTGTCAATCAGAGCAGGGCTCTGGAGGCACTCGGCGGGGGAAGGGGTTTTGGGTTGGAGCCAGGGGTGTCGACAAGGTAACCGATAAGAGGAGGATCGGGGCTGCTCTGTGCAAAACCATTGCACAGAGCAGGTATGACATTTTTGTTATTTTAATATAATTAAAAAATTGAAGCTTTACAATGCACAGAGTGGCCCTGAACCTACTTTTCTCAGGTCCACAGCCAGTGCTCCTGGCTCCTCCCCTCCACCGAGGGCCCCCTAGAAAGATACTTTCTATGGGGGCACTCATGTGGGCTTGCTTCCAAGCCTTGTTGTCTGTGTCTATGGAAACAGAAGAGAAGATGGGCACAGTACATTTCGCTTTAGAATTCCTTGATGGTTTTGAGATTTCATATTGCCCTGCTCAGACTCGAGGCGCCCCATGCCAGACACAGCAAAGCAGCCCCAAAACATAACCCAGCCTCCTCCATGTTTCTCAGTAGGTACTGTATGTGGTGTTTTCTTTTGAAGATTTTTTTCTTATGTGTACTTTTAGCGGATGTGACTTGCCATAAAGCTGTAGTTTTGTCTCATTTGTTCACAGGAAATTCTCCCAGAAGAATTGTAGCTTGGCAATATGCACTTTAGAAAATTCCAGGCTGGTTTTATTTATTTTTTTTCAATAATGGAGTCTTCCTAGATATTCTTCCTTTGAGCCTACTGTCACTTAAATAACAGTGGATGGTGCCATCGGACATTGATTTACCTTGACCTTGGAATTCAGCTTGTATCTCTTTCAAAGTTTTCCTTGGCACCATACCTTTCTGTTCAATCTGGGGTCAATGTTACTTTTGTGGCCTTGTCCAGGAACGTTGGCACACTCTCACTTAAACGTCTTAGTAATAATTGAACTGTTTTTAAATGAGCATCAAGTTACTTTGAGTTGGCCTTATACCTTTGAGATGCTGGTCTATAATTTCACCCCTGATGCTGTGAAAGGTACCTTCATGTGGTATTTAAAGATAGATGTGTTGTGAATAATAAAGATGATTATTGCATGGCAAAAAATACTAAAGGGTCTGTTTATAAAAGGAAAAGCTGTGCAAATGATTCAGCATTCATGAATAATCCTTGTAATGTGTCTAATATGTGTTTTTCCCACAATCGACAGCTTCATCTAGTGGCGATTCCTGATATACAACAATCCGGAAAATACTACTGTATGGCCACTGGATGAAGCTGTTGTTCAAAGGGAATAACCATATTAGACAGATTATGGGGGTTATTTGCGATGGTAGGTAATCATCAATTAATCAGCATAAACCACATTTGTCAAACACCAGTGCTACTTAATTCCTGTGACAAACTAATTCAGCTGTGGGACAAGAATATCCTAAAAAACGTTTCATGGATACTTGAGGTTTAGAATTGAAAGCTTGTCATAGTGATCTATTAAATTTCATTCTATCTGTTTTAACAGTTTTCCATGGTTAAAAAAAGAAGCTATAGAACTGCTGAAATTTTTACCTTTCCTGAAGAAATGCTGTGCCAGGTTCCAATGAGTGCTGGTTGCATGTCTGAAAGCCTGGACCCTTGGTTATGTAAACTATGCTGAGAGAGAAGGTGGGCCAGTGTGAACCCTTCAGCAGAAATCACATTACCCAGTGCCTAGATCTTCAGATGTAGCCACCTCCAAAGGGAGACTGGAGCAGCATCTTCTCAAAGGTTGTTTATTCATCCCAGCAAGACTGATAACAGATTTAGTGTCTGAGTATACAGTAGATCTGCCTTAATGTCTTTCTCCTTGTCTGTCTACTAAGGTTATAAAGCAGTCAATTGGAGACATGGTTCAGCTGCATATACATATAGACCTTATACACTGGACCCAGCGTTACTGTGTGTTTAGTGTTTATCTGTTTGTCATGTGCATAGCAGTGACATGTCTGTCTATATATCTTTGTGTGCCCTGTCACGTAACAGTCACCTGAAGTCAGTGTTTTTTTTTTACTGTCTAACAGGCATGATGACGTTATAGGCAAGATATCACTCACTAAGGAATACATTTCATCACAACCAAGAGGTAAACATTCCCTGCATGTGCTTGAGATTTAGAAAATTGTTGTATAAACAGCAATGCATAGATAGGAAATATTCAGTAACACTGCAAAGAGTAGTTATGTGCAGTCATGAAAACCAGTCAGATACCAGCTCTAGGCAGGTTCGTGTACTGAGACTAATAGATTTTGGCCTCTGTGGTTTGTGCTGTGCACATCACACTTCCTTCACAGAAAAAAGCAGAGTATACAATAGCACCAAAATAAAGCATTTGTCTTCGTGTTTATACCTACAAAATGGCAAAAAATACCCAAACTAGTTGTTGGTTTAAATATCTTTTATTTTTCTGCCAACTAGTATGTGTCGGTGATTACCACATGTCATTTAAAAACTGGCTTTATTATTATTATTATTGCTTAAGGGGTCAGTCCACCTAAAATAGAAGTGTCAGTTTTTTGCAGAAATTAGGAATCTAAACCACCGGACAATTTTTTAATATATGGCAGGAACTCTTTTGGTGATATCTCTGCTTATATGGCTCTGGGTTTGCACACCTGCTGTAGTAGACCATTATGATGAGAACCCCTGTCATTGTTGGAGTTTTTATTCATTATATCATTGGGAATTCAACAGCAGTTGCTGGAATGCACGAAGGTGATTAGGAACATCCTGATTGACAGGATCACAGCCAGAATTTATTGCAGGGAAATCTTGCTTTAGGAGCATCGGAGATGTTTAGTAAGTCGGTGGCTGACTCAGGGGCGGACTGACCATTCGAGCACTCAGGCACTGCCCGAGGGCCCTGGGTAAGTAGGGGGCCCCATGAAATGCCCCTGGTACCTTTTTTATAGTCTTTTTTTGAGTGTGGGCAAGGACACAGGGGCCCCATGATCCCCTATTGCCCGGGGGCCCCATGAGTTGTCAGTCCCCCCCTGGGCTGACTCATCCCAGCAGGTTCTACCTCTAACTAAAATATCAGTTTTCGGGGAGGATCTGATCCTTTACTATGTAGATAAATTAATATATTCTGTGTGTTCTTCAGGTATTGACAGTTGGATTAACTTGAGTCGAGTAAATCCTGATGAAGAAGTCCAAGGAGAGATCTATCTTGAGTTACATATAATGCAAGATCAACACAAATGTAACCTGCACTGCCATGTCTTAGAGGCCAGGTAAATGCTGTTATCCATTTTGTCCTAGTAATCCCCTGTATACGTGATGTGATATAGTAGAAATTAATTTTGATAAAAGAACCAAGGAAGATATTAGGGCAAAAATAAAGCAGTTGTCACTTGGGTCACCTAAGGGTATCTGTTAATACCCCAATAATCTCAAGTGTTATTTAAATTAAATTAAGAATTACAATGATTAGGCTACCTCTGACCTCCCTAACGGGATATAAAAAGCACCTCTGGCAATCTTATTATTTGTGCACAGATATTTTCCAACAAGTTGAGCAGGGCCTCACCCTTCACTATTCTATGGGGTAGGAAGGATCAAATGTACTGTATACATCCACCAAGCAAAGTGGCAGGTCCTGGGGCTCCAGACACTTATTCAAGGACAGGCAGAGAGGGACACATCTACCTGTTTGTAAACAGCATTTACCACTTAAAAGGGTGTTCAATGCAATCTTCCTCATTCTGCACAACTACACATACACTAATGTGCACTTAAGCACTCACCACCTCTAAACCAACAATCACTTGTTGCTCATGCCAACACTACACCGACTTGCACTTCTCCACTCCTAGCCACTGCACTGGAGCACGCTTCGGCATTTCCTGCCAGTACATCAGTGCACACTTCAGCACTTTCTGCTACTTTTCTGGTTCACTTCGATACTCTCCATCACTACACTGACGCTCATAAAGGCACTAGCCCCGACGTGATTTCAGCACTCTCCGCGCCAATACAATGATGCACACTTTGACATGTATTGGCACTGGCTATATTTGTCCTGTTCAACAAACGAGCCCGTTTTTGCTAGTGATATATGAAATAATGACTTGTGGTTGGAAACCAGAGCAAAGAACTACCAGGTATAGAGAGAAAGCAAAGGCAGTAAAATGAAAAAAGTTTTGTCCCAATCCCAGTGCATTTGGTACTACTGTCAAGCCACTGATCTCTACTTGATTGTATTTGATATTATTTATTTATTTCAGGTTCTTAACTCGTATTCATACATACACATACTAGGGCAAATCTAGACAGGTGACAATTAACCTACCAGCATGTTTTTGGATTGTGAGAGGAAACTCATGCAGGCATATTACCAATGAGAGTCCGTCTCTTGCGTCTGTACACAAGGTTGCCATTAACAGCTGCTCCAGTTTTGACGACTTCCCCTTTTTGTATCTATCCTGTTACAAAATTATATTGGGGTGAATTCAATCATCTATACTGCCCGTTTCTATAACTTTACTGACATGAAATTAAAAAAATAATTACCTCCAGTACATCGATTAAAATTCTAAAGAGTGTCTTGAAATATGAATTCGAGATTCTTTTTAAAAATTATGCAAATCCCATTATTTCTCCTCTGTTAAGTGGAGGTTGGCACTGCACTTCTCAACTGCTGACATACATTTTTGATACTTCAATGTAATGTCTAACCAATAGAAAGGCTTGGGGTGGAAGTGGCCAGAGAAACACTTGGCTTTTTTTAAAAGAGAAGTTTTACACCTTAGTTTCAACTGTCTGAACAGTTGGTTTCTGTAGATAAGTTTGACATGCACTTTGTACTGAAGGTAACATCTGCCTATGCTTTCATCATATGGTCAGTATAAATTGCCCATGTTTGTGACATTTTTCCTTTTAACCTTGCAAAGATTACCCAGTAACAAATAAAGTCAGAACCAGAATCAAAACATACCTTTTTTTGTGTGGCAATAATTTATAGAACCTGAATGATTTCTATGGGTGAACGCCACACATTATTACTGCTTCATTAAAAGCCCACCTGTGTCCTTTAGCTGTTGTCTAAGCCTGACTGTATGCCAGCATTGCCTCTGAATACATGCTGTTTCCTAAGATAGCAATAATTATTTGCACTTGAGAAATTGCAACTTCGATTTTCACACACCATCTTTTCTTTCTGCCTCAGCAGCTGTCAAAGACAACATATTTAAATGGCTCTTTTGTCTTCCTGCAAAAGGCAGTGCCAAAAATATCAAGAGTTCTTCATAAATGTCAGCTCTTTGCCAGTAATCCTTATTTGCATATCTATGGGGTCAGTAACTACTGCCAAAATCCAGTCTCTCCTACCCAAGACAATAGTTGTGTTAGGGTGCCCTATTATTCTGTACTTTTCAAACTTTGCTTATCTCCATAAAGATTCTTCCCAATGGTTTTTCTTTTCACAATGTATGTGCTTGGGAAATGCAACCTTGGTTCTAGACATTTAATGACAATTTGCCAGCTCTGAGCGTGAAGCAGAAAAGACTGTAGTTTCCTAGCAACAGGTTTATGTGCCTAGCAACCTAAGAATCATTTGAAGTGTGGGGATCGCTGAAGCAAATAAAGGCCTGAGGAGTATGCAAAGGGCTTTCACATAGAGGGTGGAAATAATGACTGGCACTCTGTGGCACAAAACATAGTGGGTGTGTTGTGTTTAGTTCGCTAGCACATGGTTTCTAAACAATGCAGGGAAAATGTACAATGTGCTAAACAGAACGATATTCTTTTACATGCATTATCATAGATGAATGCGAAGGAGTTGGCACTACAGGGGACTCTAAGATTGTTGGCTGATGCAGTGACATTTACAGAGCAGAATTTATGAACATGCAGGTGTGGCCCCTAGTGACTTGAAGTCATGGTTCATTTCAAACCTGCAGCACAAACATAAATCTAGCATTTGCTTGGTTGTTCAGAACAAAATCTCCTCTTTCCCCCTTTATTTACTGAAGGATCCTAGTGCACGTCATCTTTTAGCAAAGAGCCGTGAGGAGTAGCTGTGCCTAAGAGAACAAGGAGAGTATACAGAGCAAGGGCTTACTTTAGGGCTTGTGTTGGGTGTTCCGGTCAGAAATTACCAGTATAATAAAGTCTATTAAATCTTATCTGTCCCACCATCTGTGCCTTCGATCTCTGCTGTTAAATAGAGCTATGTTGTTCAACGAATCTTCTGCATCTAACATACTTTTGGGTGTGTTGGATGCTATTTACCTGACTGCATGCTTTTTCTTCCACCACCCCCTATGTCATTATTGTGTCCTGTAATAATGTTGGGGCAGATTGATTGAAGTAGTAGTGGGTGACCAGACATCCAACACCCCCAGGTGTGTCAGATACAAAAATAAGTTACAAATGTGTTTAATGCCATTTGAAGACCCTGCAAGTACAGAATACCTGTTACTCTGCTAAAATGTACTCTGCTTCTAAGTCCTGTTCTAAGCTGACAACACAGAGCCTTGGTAGACTTTCAGAGACTTTTGAGTGCTGTCAGCCAGGGCACTCTCAGATTCATACAACACAAAGGCTAGTCATTTTGTAGCTTAAAGTGTTACTAAACCCAGGGCCCTGCATTCACTATATCTGGTCTCCCACAGTACACACAACATGGAAATGCAATTATTTTAGTAAATATAAACTGCTAAATACCTTTTCTCATCAGCAGTATATAGCAGTCTTGTGACTTTATCAGTGTCCAGTGGAGCACTAGTTAAAGCTTGTAGGAGGAGTTTTCATTCTCCCCTATGAGGCTGCAGGACCCCTGACCTCTGTCTGGACAGTGCTGATTGGCCCTGTGCTGATCCCATGCACTCTCCCAAGAAAAAAAAAAAACCTCTCTAGCAATACACACCAAATTAATAATGTGCAGAGTGTCTCCACACCATATGTCTTATCAGGAGATAAGAGGGGGACACTGGTAGAAGGGGAGGATCAGAGAAGACAGGATCGAACATCCTTTTTACACAATGCAGAGGATTAACCCCTTTGGGTTCCATAGTGAGTATAACAAGCATGATTTACTGCATATACAGACTGATTTTACTGTTGTTGGTTTAGTAACACTTTAAGGTTAAAGCTAGGGTCGGCACTTTGAAACAACACAGGGTGTGCATGTCAAATTAGCATGATAAATAAGATCATACAATACCAGAAGGTACACCTCCACTCAATAATCTATCTTTGACCAAGCAAAAGGGGCCAGGCCAGGGGTACCCAACCAGGCCTTCCAATGTTTCAGAAATTTACCAGGGCTACCTCTTTGTTGAAAAAACATCTTCTCCCTTGATAGTGTGTCATTAATTGCCTTAATCCAATGAGCTTTTAGTGGGGGAGATGGGGATAGCCATTTTTGTGCTATAATTTTCCTAGCTAAGAATAGAAGGCGGAGAATAGCAGTCTAAATCGAAAGACTCAAAGTTCTCCTCATATAACCAACCAAGTAAGCATAACTTAGGGTCTAATGGGGGGTGAGAGAAAAAATATTATTAATCAGGGATATTACCCCAGTCCAATAATGCACCAATTTGTGGCATTTCCACAGCATATGTAATAATGTACCACTTTTTGCCTCACAGTGTTGGCTTAGGGGAGTATCCCGTCTGTGCCATTCAAATAATTTTTGCGGGGTACGATGAATTATTAAGCCTGTGTTTTCATAAGAATTATATGCTTTTATACTGTATAGTTTGATAAACTTGTTTAATAGGGGGGTGAGCTTAGTTATGTAAATAATCATTTTACTTCCACTTGACTAACTGCAATAAAATTAAAATTACAATAACACTGAGGGAAAATGAGGGGATTGTTAGGAAGAAATATGAGTACCTCTTCTATTATGGTACCCCACACAGGAAAAGTTAGAAATCCAGCTGGGTGGGACATACTGCAGTTCTTTCTCCTGGCTCAGCTGAGGAAAAAAATAGCACTTTAGACTGATTGTTGCCTGATTAAATGAGGACATTGCTAACTACATTTACCATAACTGCTAAATGTTTACTTAATCCCCTTTATTTTTGTTTTTATTGTCTTCTTGTTGCATTAAACTGTTTGGAGAACAGAAGTACTTGTGTTTTTTTTTCTTGTACAGTTTTCATAGAAAATGTCTCTTCTAGTGAACATTTGAAAATAACTTCCTTGAATGAAAGTTGTCCGACTGGTATGCACTGCTGCTAGTGAGTTCAGTTAGGGCTGATTTGAAATATGACGTTCCTTGTTGTGTAAGATTTCATCATTTGCCTCCCTAGAGATTTGGCACCTCGGGATATCTCTGGAACGTCAGACCCCTTTGTACGTATATTCTGCAACAATCAGACCTTGGAGACCTCAGTAAGTACACTCCTCCTCTATGGATAAGATAATTGCCTGAACAATTACACTTTTGTGACTGCCCCACATACACAATCACTTATTCTCCTTTTTGCTCCAGGCTTCTTGCAGTTTGTTGTGTAAGCCAAGTTTTAATGAAATCTAAACTGTGCAATAATGTTTGCTAAACATTTGTTGGAATTAGGTTAACATGACACTACGAGGGGCGACTAAAAAGTTCTCAGCCTACCCATGAAGCATTTGTCTTACCAAATTTCTCTCAAATATCTTTTTCTTTGTTTCAGTTATTGAAGACTTAAGCGCAGAAGGTCATCATTGTCTGAAAGATGGAGAAAGTGAGCAAACGTGCTGTTATCCAATACCTGCTGAAAAAGGGAATGAGTGGACAGGACATCCGCAAGGATATGATGGAAACATTAGGGGAGGATGCCCCTTCCTATTCCACTGTTAAAAAGTGGTTGGCGGAATTCAAGAAGGGGAACCCCTCTGTCCAAGGTGATCCTCGCAGTGGAAGGCCAGCAACTGCCTGTACGGCGGAAAACATCACAGCAATCCGGGATCTCGTAATGGCAGATAGGCACGTGACAGAACGTTTCATCGCAGAGAAAATGGGCATATCACCCCCACCACCCACCCAGCACCTTCACTGCCCTTGAGATTGCCAATCACTTCAAAAACAAAATTGACACAATTCGCAAGGACATTGCCGCAACTCACACGCCCTCTCAACCTGTCCCCTCTCACACAGCTACCCCCTTATCCCCACTCCCCCTCGACTTAACCCGCAATTTTCGTGCTGCCAACCCCCTTCACCCTCACTCAGCTACCCCCTCATCACCCCTCTCCCACGGCCCCACCACTGCTCTGACCTCCTCTTCCACCCCACCCTACATTCCTCATACTGAAGCTCCCCCAACACTCCGCACCTTTGACCTCTACCATCGAGGAAGTCTCCAAGATCCTCTCTGATTCACCACCTGCCCCCTCGACCCTATCCCCTCAAACTCCTACGACCTTCCTCCTCCTCCATCCTACGCTTCTCACCCACATCTTCAATCTCTCCCTCTCCTCAGGCACTTTCCCCTCCCCTCTGAAACATGACACATCACCCCCAACTTAAAAAGCCCTCCCTGGACCCCAATGACCCGAACAACCTCAGACCCATCTCCCTGCTCCCATTTACATCTAAACTCCTCGAGCGCCTAGTCTACACCCGCCTATGCTCTCACCTCAACGACAACAACCTCCTCGATCCCCTACAGTCCGGCTTCCGTCCCCTACACTCCACCGAAACTGCCTTACTCAAACTCTCCAACGACCTGCTAACCGCCAAAAATGGCCACTATTCAGTGCTCCTACTCCTTGACCTCTCTGCGGCCTTCGACACAGTGACCACCCCCTCCTCCTCAAAAAACTACACTCCCTCGGCCTCAGAGATTCTGCTCTCTCCTGGCTCTCATCCTACCTGTCAAACGCTCCTTCAGCGTTACCTATAATGCTACCACCTCCCCCTCACTCCCCCTCTCTGTTGGGGTCCCTCAAGGCTCTATCCTCGGGCCCCTTCTCTTCTCCATCTATACCTCCTCCCTTGGCCAACTCATTTCAACTACCACCTCTATGCCGACGACACACAAATCTATCTCTCAACCCCCCACCTCACCCCCTTGGTCTCAGCCCGAATCACACACCTACTGAGCGACATATCAGACTGATGTCGCTCCACTTCCTTAAATTGAACCTCTCCAAAACCGAGTTTCTTGTCTTCCCCCCAGCCCGGACACCACCCCCCATTGATTTCTCCATCACATCCAACAACGCTACCATCAAACCCGCCCCGCAGGCCAGAGTACTGGGTGTCATTCTGGACTCCAACCTATCCTTCCAGCCCCAAGTCCAATCTTTAACAAACTCGTGCAGACTGAACATCGAAAATCCGCAACGTTCCTGCCACTAAACAGCTCATCCACTCCCTCAAATATACGATCGACTACAACTCCCTCCTCAGGCCTGCCTCGCCGCTGGCTATGGAAACATGGCTGCCAGACTCATTCACCTTTCCAAAGTCTGTCTCCGGAAATCCCTCCACTGGCTTCCGATTGCGCAAGGATCAAATGCTGACACAAAGCTGTCCACCATACTGCCCCGTACTACATCTCTGACCTTATCCAAGTACCGACTCCGCTCCTCACAAGACCTCCTTCTCTCTAGTTCCCTGGAAATGACTTCTCCAGGGTGTCACCCATCCTCTGGAACTCCCTGCCCCAACCCATCAGATTATTCACCTACTCTCCTCTCCTTTAGGCGCACCCTGAAAACATCTCTTCACCTAGCAACTTGCCGGGATCTCCTCCTGTACCACCCCCTGATTGTAAGCTCGAAAGATAGGGCCCTCGACGTTTTGCAGAATTGTTTGTCACATCGCAATGTACAGAAATGGGCTTTATAAATACTGTATAATAATAATAATAAATAATATCCCAGGAACGTTTTGGACACATTTTAACAGTAGTGCTGGACATGCACAAGGTGTCAAGTCTGTGGATCCTGAAAATGTTGACTGTTGAAAACAAATGCGACAATCAGCAGGTATTGGATAAGAGCACGTTTGCTCACTTTCTCCATTTTTCAGACAATGATGACCTTCTACGCTTCAGTTTTCAATAACTGAAACAAAGAAAAAGCTATTTGTGAGAAATTTGGTATGGAACCTTGCAAAGATATGTATTATGAGTAGCAAAAATAAAATTGGGCTAAGACAAATGCTTCATGGGTAGGCTGAGAACTTTTCAGTCGCCCCTCGTAAATTCTGGTAAGATTCAATATGTATGTATTTTTACTCCCAAGTCCCTTCTATTGCTTTCAGCCTACTCCAATACTCCAAATTCCACTTTTTTTTTTTTTGTTGCTAGAGAATGGCTAGGTTTGTTCTTCCATGGTGTATGAAGGTAGTCACTCTTTCTTGCTTGCTCTGAGATAGACAATGGAATTTGTAGTGTGCATAGAGCAGTGTACATAAGCGCAACTAATGCCTCGTACACACAATGAGAATATTGATGATCGTTGGGTTTTTTTGTTTTGTTTTTTTTGCATGCTAGTCTCATATCGAAAGTGGTTAATAACGTTGCAAATTTCTTGTACAACAGAATGAAAATTAGGAAGTGATATATGTGTATTTGTGTATTTGTAAGTGTATTTGTAAATGTATTTGTATTGTATTTTCGGCCAAAACTGTACTGATTTAACATAAATCATACAATCTGGTATTGTACGAGGAACATTTTTGTGTTTGTCCCTTCAAATCATTTTGGATGAAAGCTGTGTATTAACATTATCATACGATCGCTTAGTAAGTGCTATTTTTCGTGCAATTTTCTGATTGTGTGTACTAGGCTTCAAAGGAGAGGTTTGGCAGCTCACGATGGATGTTACAAAGAGACAGAAAGACATAGTAAAAAACTATTTCATGAAAAATGGATCACAGGGCCATTAAGTAGTGGATGTGTATGGATTATTTTTGAAGAATAAGGATATCGTTTAGTATCACTTTAATTTGAACCTCATGAAAACATAAATATATCATGCGTACTGTGGTAAATGCTAAGAAGAAACATTTAAAGCTGAACTTCAATGATGTAAAAAAAAAAATTAAGTATCACTCTTAATATTGCCTTATATACCCTGTACTGCAGCAATGCGGCTGAGAGTGAATGAACCAGTCAGGCTCTAGCGATTTGCTAAATGTTTTCAGTCTAACACCAGGGGAATGCTTACAGGAAAGAGCAGAGGGCTGATCTCACTCTTTTTTATTGGGCCAGGATGTGGTGGGTCCTGAAGAGGATCATCTTGCTTAAAACATATCGAAACCAAAAACAAAATTAATATATTATAGATTACCAGCCACTAGGGCAGGATTTTCCCCCTTTTATTTTCACTGGGTAATTCTATGAATAACACATTTTCCTTCCCTTCATGGTTACGTTCTTTTACTGTAATGTTTCTATGGAGGTAGCCATGCTTGTCACACAAGCTGGACCAGAACATGTTTGCCTTTGCCCATCTCCATTACATGATAATTTTTGGGATTAGTGGTTTATGCCAGAACAATATAATTGTGCTTATCTTTTAGCATACATGAAGTGACAAAGACACTGCATTTCTGGCAAGATTGCAGACAGGTGTTTACTGTACTTGCTGAAAATGTTCATGGCATGAGAAAAGGAAACTAATTCAGCCACCACATCTAAGGACTGGTAAACTGCAATAAATAACTTGTGTTGTTAGGTTTAGAGACACGTTACCTGTAGTCAGATCACAAACCTGGTTTTGATGTCTGGGAGTGGTAACTGTATCACATGACTGGCTGACATTACAAATGATTCTTCATTATTTTATTATTAGTATGTTAAAATAAATAATTACATATAAATAGGAATAGATAAAATGTTTATGGACCTTTCTAATAAAGGCATGGAGCATTCTGCAAAGCACAGTAAGGGCCTATGTAGAGAACAGCTTTTCTTCCCATATCAGTCAGTAGGAATATAAAAACCATTTAGAAGGAGGTCAGACACATATCAAAAGTACAGTACCTATAAAGAAACTAAGTGATCTCAGAAGTATCTCAAATACAAACTTGATGCATCTGCTGATCTACCCATGCCTTAAACGTGTTTGCTTGCAATGGGCTATACTTTGCACATCACCAGTACTTTTTGTTCTCTCTTAAATTCTTATACAGTCTTGCATAATGTGGGACAATGCAGAGTCTGTATTCACAAGATGTCCGTATTCTCACTGCTATAGAGCAGTTACTTTGTTTTGATTATTTGTTCAAAGTTACTCATTGATCATAAATTGGCTAAATTCCAGCAGACCTAGCCTCATGTGTAGTTGTTTGGTAATCTTGTCCATTTATGAAATGTCCAGTCATTTGGCAATCAATGCCGTGTTCTTGTTGCTAGGCAGCAGTGAGGAGCATTTTCATGGGGGATTTTCTTGAAATGCCTTTTTTTGTTTGTTTAAAGTGACAACTGACAAGGTTTTTGATGGCTGCCTATACTATGTCTATGGAAGTACCCGATTTAACAGAAAAAGTTGGAATTTTACTTGTTTGTCTGTTTAAAACGCTAAAGTGCTTGATTATTCTGTACAGCATGTGATGTGATTCAGTTATGCTATGCTACTAAGTAATTTGTTGCCAGGTAATTAAAAGAACACGTTTTCCTCGCTGGAATGAGGTCCTAGAATTTGATTTACGAGGAATAGAAGAACTGGATCCTGGGGATCAAGTAATCAGTATTGAAGTTTGGGACTGGGATATGGTTGGAAAAAATGATTTTCTTGGACGTGTAAGTGTGTGTCCTTATATTATTTTTATTTGTTCATACCTTGTCTCTCCTTCCTATTGTTTCATTAGATTTCTTTACCTGTTGTATGAATGACCTTCCTTTCTTCTGTGACTCCACATGTCTTCCATCACTCACCCTGTCAACACCCCCCTCCAGGTGTGCTTTCCCTTGGAGCCCCTTCACAGAATCCTGCGGTGACTGGCTGGTTTCGTCTCCTGCCATTTGGAAACACGGATGAGGAGAATGGGTAGAATACTGCTTGTTTATGTTATCATACCATGACATTGTTTCCAAAAGGAGAGCAGTGGAGCAATGGGACAATGAACCTCTCCCTACATTATAAATCTAGTTTTCTCATCACTTTAACTCGTCCAGAATGTGCACAGTAGCAGGGGTTGTTCAATAGTCACCGTTCAATTCCATAATGAAATAATTAACAAATTCAAAATAAAACATAATTTATATAAAATATGTTTTTATCTGAAACTAGCAGTAACAAAGAAAAATGAATACGCATCAAGCAAAGAGCACCATGGCATACTTTTTTATTTTACGAAACTCAAGAAACGAGCATATAGTAACAGATATTTTTAATGGGACTTGTTTAGTAATTTTGAAGAGGTTCCACCACTCATCCATGTGACTTCCTCTGTTCCCAACACTCAGTTGAACTGATAAAGCTACTTGAATGAGAAGTAAAATGTCTTCATTGTTACTGAACAAGTCCAAATGAATATGCTTACTACCATCTATATCATGACCTGGATAAATTAGAACTTTCACAGACATTGAAGAGGTTTTACACTGCATCCAAATCAAACTCCCAGTCCCTCGCTCCCTTTACCTGCATTCTGGCAGTTTCCGATGCAGTGGTCAAGTTATTGTGATGCTTAGCTTCAGCTTTGAGGAGTAAGGCGCCACAATCCTTGTTCAATTTATCCCATACTTTATCCTGCACTTATGTTATAAGCACATTATGTCTTTATCACATATACTGTATGAAGGCAGTTGTTTCTGGGACTCAGATATGCCAGTAGTATAAAACAAAGTCATTACATGCATTGCCAGATAGTTTTGTGAACTTAAATTTCATTTCATCATTGAAGGTCAGTTTCAATCGGGGAAAAAAGTATATCTGAAGCTTATATGCAGCTTATTTTTTAAGTATTATCATGTGATGATTGTATTTAGTTTTATTGTAACCGTATGGCTTTGTGCCTCTGATGCTGCTAGTTGGCTAACTCCAACCTTTAAAGCCTCTGACAGTTTAGGAAACTGGGGCTAAATGCAGATAACACCTATACAAAAATTAAATGCTGGCTCTTATAGTTTAGCACACATATATGTTCTTTGCACTTTGTTAGTAATTAAAGCTCTTTCGGCCATATTAATTAAGACAAAGAGCAATTTTCAATGCAGTGCAGCAGCCCATAATGAACATTCAAGCAGCATTCATGTTTTATCATTCTGACTATAGTTAAATGTTGAAAGTTAAAATGTGATTAGTTGCCTGTTGCTGTTACTATAAATGAGTAACTTCTTGTGGTGTTAATGAGATATTAATGTACATTTTTCCATATGCAGTCAGCCAGTCACGTGACTTTGCCCAACATATTATCAAAAGATTGGTATAACACATTAAAATCAGTTTCATGTTTGTGTTTTTCCTGGGGTTTATAAATTACCTCTATTGTTTGTATGCCACTGTGCATCCTATTTGGTCTTGTTTCACACTACTATTTTTTTTCTAGCGGTAAACTTGGATCACTGCGTGTCAAGATCAGCCTGTCTGAGGAACGTATCCTGCCCTCTGTGTATTATCAGAACCTCATTCAGCTCCTGGTAGAGTCTGTTCAGTCCCCTGACCAGGTGGGATGCACAGATAGTTGTCTCAACACTGGTAGCTAGTGGGGTGTATGTAACATTTCTGTGCTTTTATCCAGGGTGACTGCAGTCTGCTGGCTATACTAGAAGACATGTGTTCTGCTGAGAGCCGACAAGAAGTGGCAGTTAAGCTGGTGAAAATATTTCTAGGACAGGGTCTGGCAGTAACCTTCCTTGACAGACTGAATATGCGAGAGGTGAATCGAACTGGTGAGGTTATGTTTGTCAAATGCTTCATATTGTCAATATGTTCTTCATGCCCCTATCCTCCATTACTTTATTGCTGTCTCCACATGCATGTTGGAACATTAAAAGAGAAGTTTGGTGTTATTAAAAAAAAAAAAAAAACACACACACCTCTATGCTGCAGCATCGGTGTGATGCTGCAGATGCCCCATGTTGGCCTTAAGACCGAGAACTGAGCGACCACATGACCTCTGATCTCTCAGCTCTCAGTCTTCTCGAAGTGGAGAACAGTGAATGTAAGTTACTGCTCTCCTCTCTAACTTTCCAGTGCTCACTGTATAGTCGGGATCTTTCTGAAGCCTAGAGCTAGAGCGCACTATGAGATGACTCTGGGTCACAGAACTGCAAAAGTAAGTGCACTCCTATGAACCGCAAGAGAGTTATGGCCAAAAAACTTTGGTCAGTAAATGTCTTTTAATATGAACAGAATTAAATGTGCTTCTAAATCATGGGGACCTTTATCCTTTATGCACTTCATTGAAAGTTCTGAGTAATGTAAATTTTTCCAGGTGCAAAGACTTGTCTAGTCCTGGAGTTCTCAGTTTCATAGGTGCTCACCACCAGGTCTTTTTAGGAATCTTTAACAGAGAGAAATGTGAAGACTGCCATTACTAGCGACCTTCCGGAAATGCTAGCTGCCTGGATGTCATGTTTATTTATTTACTTCAGTTCTTTCCTAGTCCCTGGCCTAGAACAATTCAGCAAGGGAAGTTAGAATTCCTTATTTGTGTGCTTGTTCTGGGCAAGTACCAGGAAATAATGAAGTCTCTAATTTAGCATTGCAGCCTCCATATTTCTCTCAACACAGGTTTTCAAAAAACTTGGCCCTTTTCTGCATCTTAGGAAACAGAGGAGGCATTCCTCCACCTCCGATTTTTTAGCTGAATTGATGGAAGAATAAGAAAATGGGGGGTTAACTCCATGTTTTGTAATAGTTAGAGTTTAAGTGTTGTAAATGCAGTGCCAGACAGTCTTCTTAAATTTTTTTTTTTCTCCCATTTACAGCTGACCCAAATACTCTTTTTCGGTCAAATTCACTTGCTTCAAAATCAATGGAGCAGTATATGAAGGTAAAGTGAAACATTGTTCCTGCTATATTTCTTTAATTCTATCTACTACAGCATTCTATTTTCCCCTTAAAGTGAAACTCTAGCCAAATGCCATTTGTCTAGTTTGGAGAGAGTTAGGAAGGGTTACACTTAGGTTACTTTTGCTAATCCTTCCTATTGAAATAGATTTCTTCAGTGAGATTGGATCTACTTAAGAGGACCTGCTGTCCTCAATTAAGACTTCCCCTCTTTGTCTCTTTTTATGATAACTATAAAAGTTTAGATTTCCCCTCACTTTCTGTCTTGGTCTTCAGGACATATATGCTTCTCACTAAAGGAGACAGACATAAATTATAAAGACAGAAGTTCTGTGTCTTCACTACCCCTTTTAAATGTAGGGAACATACACTGTGGCTAGAGTTCCACTTTAATTTTATTCTCTGCACGTCATTTAAATCACCTACAGTTTGCCATTCTTCTGCCAGATAGTGGGTATGCCATACCTTCATGAAGTACTACGACCCATTATTACCCGGATCTTTGAGGAAAAGAAATATGTTGAACTGGATCCCTGCAAGATTGATCTAAATCGCAGTAGGTAAGAAGCCAAAACAGGCTACAGAGCATATACACTTGAGATTCTCAGACTTAAAGTAAAACCTGTGCTTTGCACATGTAGGGCAAAGCAATTGGTTCACTGGAATTCCCACCTCCACAGCTGCATGTACCTAATTTTGCTTTTCTCCACTAAAAGCCTGGTTCCCTTGCATGGGAAAAGAACAGGTTAGTTAAAAGGACTCGTATTCTGTGTTCTCTGCATCACACTCTCTTATAGTCTGAAATATTTTAAAATGTTTAAAGAAAATAAAACTGCAGCATATGTGCATTCAGAAACATTTAATGACTCAAGATGAGAAAACTCCCTGCAAGCTACCTGAGGAATCACAGATAGCTCCCATAGCGCTTAGATAGGTAGAGATCATTTCATATCTTATGGTTGTAGTGTGTACCACCTTAAAAATGGAAAAAACAGCCTGTAGCTTCTGCTAGTGCTGTTACTAGTCTGGAATTTGTTAGAAGTTGTAAGACTTCAAAAACATTTTGGATACTCATGCTACCCCCAGATGTCCTGTACAGAGACAGATCTCCTAATAAACTTTTTACACCTCCCAGCTGTTTTACAGCCCAGTATCCATTTTGTGAAGTCTTTTTATTAAGAAGAGGGTCATTCCCATTGTTTATCCAGCAGTGTCACATAAAACACTGACCATTGCTGTAGAGTTTTTAAGGATGTTTTAGAAAAAACCTTGCAGCCTGCCATGGCTGTAATGTTAAGGAAAAAAGCATCCAAGAGGCACTGGGACCTTAATCGTAGTTCATATAAAGTAGTGAGAAGATCTTCCCCATTCTGATGCTCGGTGTTAACTTCAGCAAGTCGTCTTCACCATATCTACATACCTAAATACACTGAGTTGCTGCCACGTGATTGGCTAATTAGCAATTTGTGTTACCAAGCAATTAAAAAGGTGTACCTAATAAAATGGCCGGTGAGTGTATATACCAATAGAAAGAGCACCATACCAAATATGAAGAGTCTTAGTTGATTTATTGGTTTTCGCTAAAAAAAAAAAAAAAAGCCAATGTGTTTAAAATCTACTATTTGTCAAGTGCTTAGAGCTCCTGCTGGCTACCCTACACAATTGCATAGCCAGGTTAATAGGTGTTTTTCTAGCTATTTCCCAAATGAGTCTCTTATTGGTGAACATGTAGAGAGCAATTTGATTAAAATGTTGGTCTACAGAAGAGGCATAAGAAAAATCATTTTCCGCACATGCCCTTTGAGTGTTACTGTTTCTTTGGAGTTGCATTGGACACACTCCTCAAGGATGTCACTAAGGGAACGAGTACCTTTCCATCTAGCAAAAAAAAAGCATAGACCTCAAGCTTGGAAGATTTAATATACAAGCAATGTGTCACAAATGTCAAACTAATAAGAAATAAATAAAGGAACGTGTCATAAAAACAATAAGTCCATAACCAGATCATATAGTAAATCTATCCAGAAGAAACATAAGTAAAACAAAATACTGTGGTATCCAAAACTTGCAAGTGGCTGGACATGGAACCCAACACTCAGAGGTAAGTATTTTAGCTTACTGAACGTTTAACCTATAAAGCAGAGTTAAACAGCGCATGAAATATCCCCGGGCTGAATGGATCTCTCCTTCGTTTACTGTTTATTTTATTTCAGGTACTTATATAGCGCTGTCAATTTACGCAGCGCTTTACACATGTATATTGAACATTCACATCATTGAACATTCACATACTGTTGAAGTCAAGACAGCTCTCACACTAATTCTTGGACATTACTGGATGGATCTCTCCCTCCTCTAATTATACAACAGATGAAGCCTAGGCAGCTCTCACACTGAGATCTCTTGATTGCCTTCTTGTCTCAATGATAATATGTCACTCTGCACAGCAAACATGTAGGATAAGGAAAGGCTCACATACTGTAGTAATAAAACTTTTATTTTGAAAAAAGTACTGATACCAGTTGGAAAACTTACAGAAATGCCACTGACAAGGTCAGACATTTATGAAACCTTCCCTCTGGGCCTCAACTTCAGACAAGTCCTCTCTGACATGAAGAACATCCCCAATTTCCATGGTGGTAGGGCATGCGTTGCTCTTTATGGGACATCTTGAAAGACAACTTTTCAAATGCCTGGGTGCAGGTGTTGTTTTCTAAGGGCTACAACCTAGAGTTCCGCTCTCAACCCCTGGTCCACTTTATGTCTTCCAACTATCCTGTGTCACTGCACAGGTTGAAAAACCTGCATGTAGCCCATTTAGATTATCTGGATCTGGGGCTTATTGCCCACTTTCCCATGGCGGAAGGTTTTCAGGAATTTTCTTACATTTTGTTGGTTCGTAAACCAAAAGAGGATATTTATCCCATCATGTATCCCTAGGCTCTCAATCTTTTCATTTTGGGCCCAAAATTTCCAAATGGAATCCATCAGATCTGTCATAAGCTCCCTCCATTGTAGAGGCTATCTGGCATTTATAGACTTAAAAGCCTCCTATATTCATGTTCCTATTTTACCAGCACATCAGCAAATCTCTTCTGCTCCCTGTGTGTCCACCAGGGTTCTTGCCCATTTGCTTGCTTTGTCATGTTCACAGGGCATCCTGATTGTGTGATATTTTCATGATATCCTATTGGGGCAGCAGTTGGCACAGCTCTTAACGACAGTGTCACGCCTTATCCTAGACACATCTCAAGCAAAAGTTTTACTCCCTCAAACTCTCTCCTTCCAGACTTGGACTTTTCTTTTAAGTCTAGTAACTATCTATTTTTGCATTGCAGTACCATTTAGCCTAGTTTTACTTCAGACCCCTACAACTCAAAATTCTGCCATCCTGGGATATTTCAGTCATTGAACAAACCGATTTGCCTGTCACCAAGAATAGGTTGTCTGTGGTCTGGTGCCTCATGAGTCCAACTCTGGAGCTGGGGAAATCCTTCTGTTTGATCTATTGGAGGATCCTCACAATGGATGCCAGCTTGACAGGCTGAGGAGGAGTTGTGGATACCTTGTTGGTGCACAGGACTTGAATGCTGGAGAAATCCCATCTCCCAAACAACAGTCTGGTGCTCAGGGCAATTTGGCTGTTCCTATAACACTTCACATCCCAATTGATGAGTCATCCAATCAAGATCCAATCAAGCAATGCCACAGCAGTGGTGTACACCAACCATCAGGTTGGAGCAAGAAGTCTTTCCAGAGCATGAGAAAGGATTCTACCTTTATCAGAACTTTACATTCCAGCCTTGTCCTTCATTTACATTCCAGGCACAGACAGTTACAATAATAATAATAATATTATACAGGATTTATATAGCGCCAACAGTTTGCACAGAGCTTTACAAAATGAAGGTAGACATTACAGTTAAAATACAATTCGCTACAAGAGGAAAAAGAGGTTGAAAAAAGACACAGGTCATTCAGTTATGTGAACTGGCAGGCAGACTTCCTCAGCTGACAGCAACTGAATCTGGGAGAGTGTGAGGCACACCTGAAGGTATTTCAGTGTCTGTCGCAGGTGGAGAACACCGGTTGAGGACCTCCTGTCCTCCAGATTCAAAAACACACTGCGCAGGTTTGTCTCTAGGTGCAGAGATCTTCTGGTGGAAGCAGTGGATACTGTGGTAGCTCCATGGGATTCATCTCTGAAACTCCCTCCTTGTCCACTGTGCAGAATTAAGATGGTATGCAATCCAGACATCTTCATAGATCTGGACCGGCCCAGGTAGATGTGGTATTCCTACTTCATCAGACTCCTGGCAGACACTGCATGGGCACTTCCAGATCTGCAGTATTTTCTATCCCAAGGACCAGTTTACCATCCTACTTTATAGTTGCTGGCTTTAATAGCATGGCATGGCATGACTGATAAAGTCCAGTTCTTGAGGGATAGAGGCCTCTGATTCCTACAATGTTGAGAGCTAAGAAGGCCATTTCTCGCTTTCTTTGCGAGGAAAGACTTTCATCCTAGAAAGTGGGCCATATCCTGCCTATTTTACAATTACGTCTGGACCAGCATTTGACTCTGAATAAAGGAAAGGTTAGTGTACGTTACCCCAACATTTCATATTCCTGATATGTGAATGTTTTCCCTTGTACTTGTGTTAAACAGTACTTCATTCTTTGTATTTCTTCCTTTGTGTGAAATTCTTGGTTATCCTGCCAATCCCCCTGCTTTCCTATTTCAAACTGATCATGCTGGGCATAGAAGCGTCATTTTAGCATTGGCCAGTTTTCTAGTTGTGCTGGAAGCATAGCCTGCCTGTCCGTCAATGGCCAAGACTTGTGTTGACACACCCACTTGTATAGTTTTTCACTGGGAAGATCAGTGTATTGCTCTTTCTGTGACTCCTGTTGACATCTTGTTCCAGAGACTGCTAGCCTCCCCCATTATTTGATTAAGACTTTCGTACAAGGTGGCTTCCATGTAGCTTTCCCTATGTGTTTACCCACCACTACATGGAATTTGAATTTGGCTCTTTTGGCACCTCAAAACTGCCCTTTTGAACATTTCTTTCTTTCTACGCTTACTTACAAGTTTGTTTTCCTTGACACCAACACCTCTACAAGGCACATTTCTGAATTAGTAGTCTTGTCCTGCAAAGCACCTTTTCTGGATTTGCAAGAACCTCTTCTGAAAAGGTTTGCAGAGACAAGGTAGTGTTGAGGCCTAAAGTCTCTTTCTTTCCTATGGCGGTTTCAGTCTTTCATCTCAACCAGCGGCTCCTGTTCAGCAGTAGTGGATTTCCCATTATAGTTTGTGCTATGAGTTTACCTTGCAATCACTACTTCCATTATTAAGACGGTCTCGCTCTTTATCGCCGCAGATGGTCCACGCAAAGGGGAATCAACTTCTCACTCAATCATTTCATTTAGACAGGTTTTGCTCATGATTTTAAAATTTGAATTCCACCCTTTCCTGTCAAGGCAGTCTACTAGATCTGGCAGAGTTAAACAGGTGGATGTTAAGGCATACAAGCTTCTGACAAAAGGTCTTTCGGGC